CATGGAATCGGAATATACGGAACCGGTTCTGAACAGGAACCGGTTTTCGATTCCCATCCCTACCTCTAACCCTACACTGCTCCCCAGGTGCAGCACAGTGGCAGCCCACTGCTTGCCAAGGGGATGGATTAAATGCAGAGGTGAATTCCTCCAATGCGAGATCAATAAAGTTCAATTAATAACTAAGGTAAAGCATGATGACCATTCAAAACAATGACCAATGGTGTAACTTTCTGATGAAAGTTGGTGGGGACTCTAACAGTGGTGGCTGATAGACTTATAGTTACATAACTGGAGCGCTTTCATTTGGCCCAAACATGCATTTATTGAATGCTTTCCTGGTGTTAAGAACACAAGAGTACCACAATACACTGCTGCTTATATTTATAGACAGACCGATACCTTAAGTGCATTATTAATAAAAACATGTATATCAAAAATATTAATAGTTTAAAATATACTAATAACAGCTGATACAGATGCCAACAATGATATATCATGCATCCCTTTCAGTTCTGTCCCACCTAGGTAAATGTGAAATAACTGAAGAGTTCAAATTATGATTCCCAGTTATGGCTATGGGTTTAACTTGGTTTTCAGTCTGCTCAGAGACCAGCAGGGTCATAGAAAACCTGGATGGAAGAGGGAAACCATTTAGAGAATCCTCAGGGACCAGAAAGATCATGGAAATGCTAAATGAAGGGAGTAAAGTAAAAAGATATTTACAATTGCAAATGGAATTAAAATGTACGGTGAAAGGAAAATAGAAGTGGAAAAAGGAATTACCTTTTTTAATTTAAGATAAGAGACGGTATGTGTAATTTGATCAATGATTAATTTTTAAATGTTTCATTTCCAGGGATTTGAAAAAACATTTTCAAATTAGTTTCATTCTCTTTACTAATTCAGTTTCTAATGTGCAGTTATAAAAACACGTACTCCTTGTCCTCTATACAACATTGTCTGAGGTTTAAGTACTTTAAGCTGTAGCACTTTCTACAATAACCATATCTCAACATAATATCTCAGACGCCTTTAATTTATTTTTTGTATCAGCGTAAAGAGACGTATGCAGGATGAATACATTAGTAATTTTCTCAAATTAGCGACACAAATTATGTTTTTTAAATGTAATGTTCCCTTTGATTGGCACTGTAAAAGATGCGGTGTATCTGAGCAGCAACACGCCGTCTTTCTGTCCACTTTCTGAGCCTGCTGAATGTTATTCAGGGTCGAGGGTTCAGTGGCTCTGGTGCTCATTTTCTGTGGTCAGTAGGTGAGTGGGAGGGTCCATTCAGAAAAGGTCGCCAGTCCATCACTTCAGCAGTACATCCAGAGCCTAAAATGAAGCCAGATTGCACATATAGAAAATCTAGCTGCTGAGCCTATTTCCTCCGCTTTGTTGTTTTTGTTTATCTGTTCTCTATATAGCCACAGTTTGAGTTATGACATTGTGCTTCTTCTCTTCATTCAGTTTGGCTTCTCCTGTTACTGCGCCCTAAAGAAATTATTCCTCTGATGTCAGAACATGATCCGAATCTGTGGTCTGAAATTCAATTTTAAAGCACTCAGAGCAGGACAGGATCTTCTTTTCCAAGCCTTCTAGGATCATTTGTTTATTTCCGGTGATGAAAAGCCAAACACAAATATTAAGGGTTAAATTATTAACATCACAGAGTAAACAAGATGTACCTTCAGGACTTTGTACCTGCTGTATTGATGACTTCATGTTGCCATGCAATTTAGCAATGTTCACAGATCCTCTGTAAATATGGTCGATGATCTGTGATGCTAATCCGTTTTGGCCTCTTCTTAATAGAAAATTTTGAAAATGATTTCTGAGCATCATGCCTAGGAAGGTTATACACTTACCAGACACCAGTTGGGTTGGTCAACGGAATATATATATATATATATATATATATATATATATATATATTGGCCCCAGTGGCCTTTATTATACACTGTTGGCAGAAAACAGAGAGATTTGGGGGCCTTTGGACGTACATCAAATGTCGAAAGGCCAGGTCAGCTGCAGAGGTAGAACATTTGTTACATGCTCTACCTCTGTGCTCTACCCTTTTGCACGTTCTTTTTTTATATAGAAATTAAGTAGAATCCTAGAGGAAATGACTGAATAAGAATATTCTCCCTGTTTATGCAGCAATATTTATCATTTATCACCCTTTTGTTTATACTCATAAAAACAAATTGAAAGAATGAAAAGTTTCATTATTCATCAATATCCTAAATAATAATAAGCCAAATGGTAATCAGCTTTTGATCTTCACATCATTAAGATGTCAAAAACCAGAAATCTTTCAAAGATTCTTTTGACAGTGTTAAATATGGCATGTTGGTTTACATATGCAATATCATAATTGATGAGGTGTATGTGTAACTTGGCATGTTAATGAATGTATGTTATTATTGTGATTGTTTATTTTTCTCTCTATAATGTAATTTCTATTTTTAGAACCACCAGACTTTTCTGTTTTCCTCATTACTTTTTTTGCATTTGTTTTATTTGTTTTTTTCTTTTTATAATAAATGTATTAATAAAGTTTTAATGAAAGCCTGAAATGAAAGACAAAGACGCACTACAAAAAGAAAGAGAAAAGGCTTTAGTAAAAGACACATTTATAAAACACTGTTGATGCAGCGAGTTGGAGGACAAGGGCAGCTGTATTGTGTTTTTTTTTTTGTTGATTTTTTTTTCCTGAGGAATAACAGGTTGAATGCTCATCCATGTTTGTCGTTGTTTTACAGATATTCTGACAGCACCATTGAGGCTGTGGAGATGTTAGACAACGATGAGAAGATTGATCTGGAACTGATCTTGGCACTGATCCGTTATATTGTGCTCAATGAGGGGGTGAGTGTAATCTTTTCTCTGGTGTAGGTGCAGTCTGAAATAGGATTTTCTTTCAAAAGTACATTTGGACTGTAGAAGAAGATGAAATTGCAGGTACCCTCTTGTGTAGGAGCATAACAGGCTTTTGTTACTGGAACATGCCTTTAGGATTTTCAACATTATGCTGTTTTCCTTACATGTTCAGCGTTGGTAGTCGGCTGTAGTGCCTGTTGAAAATCGATCCACATTAAGTAGAAACTTAATAGGTGGCACAGCTGCTTAAGCTGTAAAGGGAGAGAAGTGTAGCAGAGCAGATGGAGGGAACAGAGCTAGCTTCCAAACACAGTGACTTTAGATTAGAGAAAATAACACCAATCCCGGCAGCATATCTGTGCTAATGAGTGATGGAGCAGATGCTCTCCCGCTACACGTCCACTTCCTTTTCTCTCCTTCCATTTCTCATCAGGTTTCTTCCTTTTATGTTAGAATCTTTTCAGCGCTGCTTTTACAGAATCTTACCAGCACCGACGAGAAGAGATAGACCAATACATTGGCCAGCCATTATTTTTGGCTGATATCGGAGGGTTTTTTTCTTGAATCTAGGGCTGCAACTAACCATTATTTTGCAAATCAGTTAATCTGTCGATTATTTTCTCGATTAATTTATTAATAATTGGATGGCAAAAGATTCCCCAAAGAGGATTGTTTACAGAATTAAACCAGGTGGAACTAAAACTTCTTAATAGAGCATATTGAAAGACAAAAAGGTTATTTAATCTTTAATGCAATATGTTTATATCTATTTTCACAATTTTGGTGTAATTACTACTCTAAATGAGTTGCTCTTTCAGCTAAAGGGATTTTTCGGAGTCTCTATCAGCAGCCATGCCTTCAGATCAACTGGAGCTCATGCATAGCTGCTACCTATGGTGATCTTGTAATTTAGCAAGAAAAAGCAATATCGGCCCCAGAAAATGACCAGTACATATTGGGAATTGATTAGACTGATGGTAAAACAATCGGCAGCGGCCTTAAAAAAAAAAAAAAAACTGTCCTGGTCCATCTCCACCAATTAGGTCAACTTATAGGATTTAATAAATTAAAGTACAATAGAAAAGGTAATTAAATAAATTGATTCTACATGTAAATCTTTATGTTTTTATATATGTTAATTTAGATAATTATGGCTTGAATTTAATAAAATAACCCTCAAAATTCTGTTTCTTTCAAACTATTAATGGCCAATTAATTAGATTGATAAAATTTAATCTATCATCTGTTTGCCTCAATGATCAAAATGGTTTTAATTTAGAGGTGATGAATCTGTAATAAGTTTCACTTCTTGATCGTAAAAAAATTTTTATTTTACTATTCTTAGTGTTTGAGATGCTCTTGTACTTTTGTAACAATATAGCAACGAAATGTAAAACTGAAATGAACTCAGTCTCTTTTAACTGTATTCCTTTCAAGTAAAGCAGAACTAGTTGTTTTATTTATTTGTTTGTGGCTGAGCTTGTCTAAAACGTGTGAAAAAGGCCAGAAGTAAAAGAGCGCCTGGGAATGAGAAGTGACTAACCCAGACAGACAGAATAATTACCTTTTCCTTTATGAAGCCATATCCCCATCAGTCACGGCAGCACTCAGCCACTCGACCAGTTGATTTGCCGTGGCATTGTCACACGGCTGAGAGGGAACTGGCTGATTCGCCATGACGCTCCGACCAAGGATATGGCCCGTCTGTCAGGCTTTCGCCTCTGATGATTGGTTAATTATATTGAAGAGGTCTATGATTAGACGCTAAGGGGGATGACATGCAAGCAGTAATGACTGCCTGCTAGGTGAAGCTCTATATGTGGGAGGATCTGTGTTCTTGTTGCCAAATAGTAGGCTAACACTGCTGAACTGCTTCCTTTTTGTTTTTGCAATAACTAATTTACCTCTTTGGGTGCTTTATTTCTATTAGGTTGTAGCTATCATATGTACACAATTTTTGCATCACACACATAGTCACATGTGACTGCAAGTATTTGTTAGTAATTCTGTGTAATTAAAAGGCAGAGGTAACTTATGCTATTAGATAACTTTGTTTTTTTTTTCTCTTCATTTTTACTGCTCTTTTTTAAGAGTGGGCTTTTTTCTGCTTATTAGAAATCATACTTTGATACATTTTATCTATTTACAATTATTTTGTACAGCAAAGTTTTACCAAGAGCAGGAAAATTGGGTTATCTCAGAATTACAATCGCTGTTAAAAGGTATATGATTATTGTTCTTAGGATGTTATGAAATTGTGTAATAAAAATAACTTCTAAATCCCATCATATCAGTTGTTATACAACCAAACGTTCAGCGAATTACTTTACTTTTTATTCTTATCTCTGATTGCAACTCTTCCATCACTTTCTCTGGCCTTGGGCATCTAACTTTGGGTCAGATGAGGGAAGGCGCTACACTGAGATCTTAGTAAACAATCTGAATAATTTATTAGTATGCAAAACATTGATTAGATTTTGCCACACAACTAATGTGTTGTTCCACTGTGCAATATGTATTTATTAATGAATGACATCGTTAGAAGTTCATGCAATATAGATATTATTAACAGATACGGCAATGATCAACTTCAGTTGTAATCAAGCCAGATTTTGCTCACTCCTGTTTCTCAGCTTTCTGTTTGCCCTTAAGCATCTTGGGCCCTTTAAACTTGGGCAGGTGTGAGCATCTACAGGAGGGAGACTTAATCCATCAGAAAGGATATTACATTGGCATGCAAAGCAGGAATTCACAACCTGGGATATATTAAGTAACAGCTACAGCGTTCCTTGGAGCCCCTTTCTAATGTTGCAGATAGTAAGGCTGCAATGACAATGTATTTAAATATAATGTGCAGCCCCAGGGATTGCAAACACTGATGAGTCAGTGATGATATATTTGTATATATTACAAAGCCCTAACTTCTAGCTGCAGCTTTGTTCTGTTCTTTTTTTATGCTGTGTAAAAGGTAAAGAAATATGTTATATGTCAAGCTGTAAATATGAGGGATTGCCTATTATGGCATTATTATAAGAGACATATCAGTATTAGACAGTCTTTTCATATTGGAGCATCCCTTCTGAATAAAATTATATATATAGTTTTTTTTTTTATAAGGCTAGCAGGGGGCCTAAAGTACGAAGAAGTATTAGGGCCAGGCTAGAGATTTGTAATTTTTTTTTATTTTGATAATAAGGTCATAACATTATGATTATAAAGTCATATAATTACGAGAACAAAGTCTTAACATTACAAGAAAAGTCATAACATTACGGGAATAAAGTCGTAACATTACGAGAATAAAGTCATTACGGGAATAAAGTCGTAACATTACG